GTTCAGGGTTTAGGGTTTAGGACTCAAATCCAATCGCGAATTCAGCCCGGACCCTCCGAAAGCGAGAAAGAGCTGGGCACTGAGTAAGAAAAAACCAACAGCAAACACCCTAATCCCGAGCCTACACCCAGCCCCCGAACCTGTACTGTGAATAGGAACCCTTATGGGAACCTTGGTTAGAACGAGCCCTTAGCAACAACAACTTCAAATCTCTACAATCGCGGCCGAACTCGTATAGAAACCCGAAGCCCCCATCTGACCGAGCCCTTCAACAGGAACTTCTATATGGTTTATGACAAACTTATGAGAGTGTTTCCGGAGGATGCTTGGTGCTTTGCCGCGACAGGGAAGATGTTGGGCAGCCCGGACTGTTTTGGACGAGTGATTGAGGTTTAGGGCTTCAGGTTGGGTTTAGGGCTGGGTCTTGTGGTTTGGTCCTTTGGGCGTTTTCGGATGTTTCGGAAAAGCAATATCTCGTGGCAGCTCAACTTCCCTCCCAAAAACCTTCATAAAGCTTACTTAGATTCAAAACCACGCACAAAACCTGCATTTTGCTCTTATGGAGCTTTTTAGCCCTTGATAGGCACCTAGGTTTTGACGACGAGGACCAGGGCTTTCGCGCTTCAGTGGTGCGGGCTTCCTAAGGCAGTTCGCGCAAAGACCCTGCACACAAGTGTAGTTTAAGGTTTATTGGTTTTGGGTTGTTGCATGTTTAGGGGTAAGGCCTTCATTGTAGTTGAAACAGGTCCCAAACCGCAAACCATCAAGCCTTAAATCTCAAGCTCAAAACTTACACGAACTCATTAGAAGCCACCTAACACCCTGTAAGTCGAAACATAGGCAACAGCTCGGGTTTACTCAAAGCCCAGGCCGTAGGTGCCTGTGTTCTTGAACCAGAGCCCGAGCCATCCACCCTGCACCCTCCTCTCTTCTGCTCATGTTTAGTCGGAACTGTACTCGGGTTTAGGGTTTAGGGTTTAGGGTTTGGAGAGTGTTTCAAGGGCTCGCTGTACTGTTGGGGTGTAACGTCGGGGATACTGCTGGCAAAACTGCACTCCTTGACGTTGTCCCACCACGAACCTTGAAACCCTAAACCCTAAACCCTAAACCCTAAACCCTAAACCCTAAACCCTAAACCCTAAACCCAAAAGCCTTACAGTCCCCAAACCCCGGCCCGAAACCCTGAAGCCCTTTCAACACCTGCATGGATTCCGAATCCGCCTGTTCCACAGGCCACACACATCACAAAGTTTAGGGGTTTAGGGGTTTAGGGTTTAGGGTTTAGGGTTTAGGGTTTAGGAGGTAATCACGATGTACAGATCTGCAACATAGGTACTGTTTATTACATATTTTTCACTGCGCCTTTTCCGATTTCATTGTTGAGATAAGACCTGACCCTAAGCCTTAAGCCTTATAGAAACCGCGTACCCTAAATCCAACCTCCTAGAGAAAATAGCACCAAAACTCCTATCAGCCAAAATGCAACCTTTGTGAAGCCTTGCAACAACTCACTAAGCCCACAAGCACCCAAGAAACCCGCACGAAAACCTAAGGGTTTAGGGTGTAGTGTAGGGTTGAGGGTTTAGAGTTTAGGGTTTAGGGTACGAAAGCCAAGGGATTTGCCCCACAGCTTCGCTGCGGCCTCGTCCTGGCCATCGTGCCCTGTGCGTTGCGGCCGGGCCACCGACACCTGCGCCCGGGGTCCAAGTGGTTGATGGCCTTCGCAGGTTTTAAGAGGGGTTTAAGAGGGTTGGACAAGGAGTCCACAAATAAAGATTTTACAAGGGCTTGTCAGGTCCTTTAGACAGGGGTATATGGCCTGCATTAGGGGTATTTCGGATATAATCGATGGTCCCTGGGTGAGGGTTTCACAGGGCTTCCCGGGTTTGAGGGTAAAGTTATGACGCTTACCCAAGAGCTCCTATGTGGTTCCTTTTTGGATAGTATACTATAATTCCTTACCAGAAAACCATAACAGACCCAAAAAGGAACTACATTGGAGCCCCTGGGTAGCGTGTTTAAGGTGCAAGGCCTTTTGTTTATAGCCGAGTAGGTGGGGTTGCAACGGTTGGAGGGGCTTCCTGCTGTACGGACAGCAAGGATCAGGACGCAAAGCAGCACTGTCAACACCATCTTTATGGTTCGTACTGTTGTAGTCCGTTCTGCGGAATAAGAGGTTTCGATTGCTTCTGACTATTTATGCTTACTAGTGCATACGGTATACTGGACTGTGTGTCCAGCCTTTTTGCCTTAAGCGGAAGGCGGAGGTTTTAGTGGGGGTCTGAAGAAGTACTTTTATTCATCAGGCTGGCCTCGTATATAGACAGTATAGCAGTACAAGGTTCCGGAGGCCAAGGAACCTTCCACGAAGGCAAGCCAAACAGTTTTTGCATGCAGAGAAGTAGATGGAGAGATGTATATCCCAATCGGTAGAAAGATATGACTGTTACATAGAAGAACACAGATGTGTTTAGATACGCAAATAGAGACATACATGAACACACACAGGTAGACAAGGAAGCAACCGACTAATACACATTGTTCAAGTGCATAGATACATGAATTTATGTTTTATGCATATGCACGCATACATGCGTAGAGTTTCAATTATACAGCCCTAAAAACAGCTCCTAAGCAAAAAGCAGCAACAGCAACAACAAAAAACACTCCTACCACCAAAAGCAGCAACAGCAAAGAAAACACTCCTACCGCTCCTAAACCCAAGATCCTATCAGATAGGAAGCCTCACGCCACTTAGGGCCGCTGGCGCGTCGAGCCTTCGCAGCCGGCTCGCCCAGTGCCCGCTGGGCAGATCTGGCCACCAGCACCAGCGAGGTGACCTTAATGATTAGGGTTTAGGGTTTAGGGTTTAGGGTAATATAGGGTTTTGGGGCCCATTATACTATCATTATAATAAGGAGCCCCCCCAAAATAAGGATGTAGGATATGTAGGTTTGTTCTATTTAACGTACCTAACCCCCACTAAAGTAGGTAAAATAATGGCCCAAGACCCATACAAGGCTGTTATTCTGCATACTTTGGGGGTCCAGGTAGGGGCCAGGGTGGTGGAATATTATGGTGCAAATATACATGATTATTCAGGCTTTGCATTCCAGTGGTCGCTTAGGGGGCGTAGGGCTTAGGTTTTCTTGCGAGGGGGCCTATAGCCTAGCCAAGCCCAAATCCTAAATTTCCAACCCAAGGTCCTAGACCCCAACCCGTATTGCAGCCTCCGATAGGCGACGATGACGGAGGCCCTTGTTGAGGAGGCCATGACACGTTTCGGCCGAAAGCAGCGTTCCATGGCACAAGTGACTTCCGGTTAAGCCGAAGGTTTCGCTTCGATGCTGCTCCGTCTTCGTACCTTAAGCTACCAAACCTACTTTTTCGTAGGGTGCCTATGAATCCTGTGTTAGAGTTTGTAATAAGAACCTGCAAAAAAAGTAGGTTCTGGTAGCTGAAGGTAAGTAGTCATGGGATGATTTGTTCCATCCGCGTCCCAGTATTTTTTGAAACGGAGTTGTCCATTCTAGAGGTCCGTAATCACAAAACACACAGACCGGCTGTAACACCTGCTTATGACAGGATTATAGTGCACAGGCTGATTGAGGACGTGGGTAGTACAGAGCCAAGGCTGTTTTCCGAACGCCCTAAACCCTCAGCCCTACCTGGACCCCAAAAGGACGTGGAATACCAGCCTTCTGGAGTTCTTAGGCCATTATTTTACCTGCGTTTTGGGGGGTTTAGGTAAGCCCTAAACCCCAAACCCTAAACCCTAAACCCTAAACCCTAAAACCGTCCTCCCGTCTTTTAAAGTCTCAGGTAAGGGTGTTTACTTGTACCAGATCCTGGCCGTTGCCTTCTCGCTGCCCACAAAGACCCTCGGACCTTTGGGTCTTTTGGGGTTGGGGTTTAGGGTTTCGGGTTTAGGGTCTAGGGTCTAGGGTTTAAATAGGGTTTAGGGTTTAGGGTTCAGGGTTTAGAGTTTAGGGTCTGGGGTTTAGGGTCTAGGGTTGAGGGTTTAGGGTTTAGGGTTTAGGGTTTAGGGTTACGGGATCTTTACGGGTACGGCTTAAAGTTTGGGGGTTCGGGCTAAGGGTTTCGGGTTCAGTTCCGAGTGTGGGGTTTAGTTGCGGGTTCGGGGTTTAGTTTCGGGTTTGTGATTCAGCGTCGGGTTTTAGGGTTATCTGTCGATTCCTGGTGCATAAAGATCCCTCCCCAATATGGACTAATTGCAACAGGAATCCAAATATTCGGGCTACTCACCAGGGGTCTACGTTCAGGCGTGGGATAGGATTTAGGTCAGGGGCTAAAGCTCTGAGTTTAGCAAGCCCTACAACATGGGTCCGGGATCTGTTCAAAAACTATCTTCATTATAGGCGCGAGAAAGGGACATTATTTGCTACGGATCCAGAAGCCCCCTTCACGGGTTGTATGGTTTGCGGTTGCAGGTATGGCTTTGTATTTTGAAGGTCCCATGTTCAGTCTTTAGCTAGGTGAAGTTGGGACGGTAAACCTCAAACCCCATGTAAGCCCCGAGCCCTAAACCCAAAACTCTAGAAACCAAAGCCCTGCACACTCTGAGCCCAAAGCCTCCAGAATGTAAACCCTAAGCTTGCCTGACCCATTATTCGGGCCCCCATGGTTCGCCCTAGCCCCAGTTCGGGCTTAAAGTTTGGAGATGGTTGCTTGGGCCCAGGAGCTCGATGAATTTCAGCATTTAGTTGCAACCTCTGCTGGTAGGTGGTATGTTTCTATGGTCTCTTGCGAAATTAAGGGTACCTCTCCTAGGGTTCTTAAAGTGAGGATCTTGCCACTTAGGTCTCTACCCTGGTCCCTCACTTTGGAAAACAAGTCTTAAACCGATCCTGCCTTGTTAGGCGTGTAGGGTTTGGGGTTGAAGGTGTCCGAGGGCAGACATTCAGGCTCGAGGGGTAAAGGTCGGTTGGGTTAGGGCCCAGCAGTAGCTGAAACAGGGCCTCCTTTCTGACTGGTGTTGAGCGTCCAAGGATCCTTCCGCAGGCTCCGGCCAAACCCTAAACCCTAAACCCTAAACCCTTAACCCGAAGTCCTACACCCCAAAGCCTAACGCACCCCGCCTGGATGTTCTTTGGATGTCGTTGCTGCATGGACGGTGCCAAAACCCGAGGCTGGGATCGGGCGCGGTCGGTGTTCCGGAAAGACGCCGACTTTTCGTAGTCGCCCTATCTCCTGTCAGCTGCTCCAGAGAGCATGCAGTCATGCACCGTCCCTTGGGGTTTTAGGGATTTAGAGGTTTAGGGTTTAGGATTTAGGGGTTTAGGGTTTAGGAGTTTAGGGGTTTAGGGTTACCATCGTCACCCAAGTGTGCGTGGCTTCACCGAAGGAGGATCCCTATGTCTGCAGCCTGTTGCAAGACGCCTACTTCACCGGAGAGACGAAACTGGGACACGACCTCATGGTACAGCACACCCATAGTCTCCACTGTAGCTCCTCTTTTTTTTGGTTTAACCAGTTTTATACTTTAGGATCCCATAAGGTAGCCCCAAGAAGGAACTACAAAGGAGACTATAGGCAGATCTGTACCCCAGCTTCCTTTGGGCAGCGAAGTTTCTAAAAGCGTTCAGCCACACGTAGTGCTCAGACATGTGGGTGGTTGTCAAAATTATGGTCCCTTTTGGGGTCCTTATTGTAATACGGCACCTATTATTTAAGGTACCCCAAAAGGGACCCTAATTTTGACAACTACCCATGTGCTAGGTAGATGCGGGTGCGCAAGCTCTTATACCACACATCCAAAAAGCCGTGCCAAGGTGTTTTTCAGGACTCCCCGGGGTTGCTGCCTCAACGGCAAACCGTGAACCCTACAATCGTACCGTAAGGTTTCGACAGGACCAATAATCAGGTACGGCAGTATATGATTGCTAGGCGCATGGACCGGTAGAGCTGTTGACAACCCGAAACAGGCCCTAAACTCTAAAGCCACCCGACCAGGAATGCCGGCCGCACTGCGATCAAGCGGGGCGAGGTGTGCGTGGACGGCGAGCGAGCACCTGGGACGTGGACAAGTGCGGCAGTGCAAACTTCAGTTGCGGATACATGCCATCGAAAACAGTACTAGTACTGCTGGTACAATCACAGCAGCAGCATCAGCAACACAAGCAGCAGGAGCAGCAGCAGGAGCGGCAGCAGCAGCAGCAGCAGCAGTAGCAGCAGCCGCGACCACGACGACGACAAGCGCGACGACGACAACCACGACAGCCACATCATCATCATCATCAACAAAAACAACAACAGTCTAATCTTACTCCTACTCCTACTCCTACTCCTACTCCTACTCCTACTCCTACTCCTACTCCTACTCCTACTCCTACTCCCGCTGACTATGACTACGACTACGACGACGACTAAAAACTACTATACTAGTACCTCTGCTACTGCTTCGTCTGCTTTATCTGCAAGCCACATACCGTAGGTTGCCAGCAGCAATGCGGCGCTGCCGGAGATAGGCGCTTTAGGGTTTAGGGTTTCCCAGTCTTAGTGTTAGGGTTTCATGCCCTAAACCCTAAACCCCAAATCATAAACCCGAAGCCTGTAGGGTCTCCGGCGCCTTAAAAGGGATCTATCAGGCTGTCATAAGGGTTCCAGATGGGGTAGGGCTTTGGGCTTGGGGCTCGAAGGTTTCCCTTTGGGGTTGTAGGTCTGGTGTGTGATTTAGGAGTTTTCGAAAACAAGGGGTGCCTTATTTCGGGGTCCTTATAATAAGGATCCATCCTACTATTTAGGGTACTATATTAGGGCCTTATTATCAGGATCCGACTACTTAGGGTACTATATTAGGATTCCCTGATTTTCGGAAAGCCCCAGTTGGGCTGTAGGGTTCTTTGGGGGGTTCAGGCGTCTCTCGGGATTTGGGGCCTTTGGGCTTTGGCGTTTGAGGCTTGGGGTCCCATTGCCCTCAGGGTCCAAGTGCCTAATTATCCTTTACTCTTCGGAATACTACCCTACAGTACTACTATTACTATCCGCAACCCAGGTACAGGATTATTGGGCGCTAGGGCTAATGACTTTGCGGAGACATCGGGTTTAGCGTTGAGGGCTTTATCCCTAAACCCTACAGCCTAAACACTAAACCCTGTATACACCCTAAACTCTACACCCTAAACCCTAAACCGTTTACCGTTTTGCTTGGCGGTAGGGTCGTGACTTAGGGCTCCAGGGGTCAAGGCCTTCGAACTCAGGGCCGAAAGTTTGGGTTTCTGCGGTCGAGGGTTTAGGGCGTATAGGGCTTAGGGCTTAGGGTTTGTAGGGTTTAGGGCTTAGGGTCTAGGGTTTATAAGGTTCAGGGCTTAGGGTTTACGGTTTAGGGTCTGTAGAGTTCGGGGGGGAGGGAGTGGTTCCACAAAAGCTCTATGAAG